CGGCAGACACCGGGACACAGCGGCAGAGATCGGCGAGGCAGCGGCGGAAACCAACGAGACATGGCCACAGAAACCGGTGAGACGAGGTGACAGAACCCAGCGAGACAGTGGCAGAGGAGGGGCCAGGAGGAAAGGGAAAGACAAAAGAAGGCACGGCTCGAGAAGGGGGAGTGACGGCACGGCACGCACCAGCCCCATGCACGGGCTCATCGAGTGGAGGACCTGCTCGAGCTGCTTCTCCAGGGGGACATCCATGTCGGGCGACGAGTCACCCGGCGCCAGCAGCTGCCCGGCCAGGGCATCCCACAGCCCGGGGCCCAGGGCCGCCAGCAGCTCCCAAAGACTGACAAGGGCCCGAGAGTCGGCCGCGCCGGACCCCCGCGAGCCGGACAGCCCGGCCACGGTCCCCAGAGCCGCCCGGCAGCCGAGCGCCGCCAGGGCCCGCGCTCGAGGGCTGTCCGGGCCGGAAAGCGCCCACTCCCGATTGGCAAGCCGGACCATGGCCCATGCCCGGGTGATCGCCCGGGCCAGGGCATCCGTCACCCCGGCCGACTGGCTCACTTGCAAGGCCAGAACCATGCCGGCCACCGTGGCCAGCAGGGCCGGGCGAGCGTCCTCAAGCCGGCAAGCAGCCCGGAGTGCTGCCACGCCGCCGGCCTCCAGCCGACGGAGCACACACTCCAAGGCCACGGCCGCGTGCTGCTGTGTCCGCTGGTCCGCCTGCCCGGGAGCCAAGTCCTGCCAGGCGGCCAGGTAGGCCGACCGTGCGCCGCCGTGGCACCGGCCGGCAGCCGCCGCGGCCGCCGCCGTGTCGGGCCCCGGAAACAGCGGAGCCTCCGCACCGACACGGGCCCCGCCAGCTGCGCGCACCAGCTGCACAAGCACCCGGCACCAGGCCAGCGCGCAGTGCGCGCACATGGGCGCCGCCTCGGTCGGCAGGCCAGCCCCAGCAGCGACCTGCTCCCGGTCCTGCTTGCAGTCACAATCGAACTGGCTGCCGGCCAGCTGGCTGACGGCCTCCAGGGCCGCCGGCGTGCCGGGCGACGCCACCAACAGCCCGGACATCGGGGCCAGCGAGACCCCGAGCGCCGGCAAGGGGCTCCGACAGCACCCGGGCAATGCCCCCAAACAGGCCACCGCCGCCTGGCGCAAAAACCGGTCGGTGCCTTGGCACGCAAGCCGCACCACCCGCGGGAAGGCTCCCGCCAACACCGGACAGCGGCTCCGACAGAGGGGACGCCCCCGGCCAACGGCCGCCAGCGCCGCCAGCGTCGACGTGGCCACCGAGCCGCCGGCCTGCAGCCAGCGCCCCAGCAGCTCCTCCGCCCCGGGCCACCCCCGGCCGGGCGACCCCCGGACAAAGCGCTCCCCCAGGGGGCTCTCGGCAGGCAGGGCCAGCAGGCCGGCCAGCAGCGCGCGTCCCACCTCCGACGCGTGCGCGCCATGCTCGGTGGCCAGGGCTTCCTCCAGATTCCCGGCATCCAGCACATGGTCCGAGAGCCTGCTTCGTTGTCAGTCGCAAGAGGGCAGGGGGACAAGGGGAATGAACGCCCGCCCAGCGACAAGATGGCCCGCTGCCCCCCCCCCCCCCCCCTCCTCCCGGCGCCCAAGAAGAGGGCACAGATCCACGCACCATCGAAGGAGGGAGCTGCCCGCGTGTTCCTCGCCTGCGCAGGCCTCGACCGCCCGCAGGAACACCCCGAGCGCCGCGGCCCGCTCCATGGCATCCACCCGCCGTGGCAGGTACAACTCCTCGGTCGAAAGGGCCGGCCGGTCGGTATCGGCCAGGGACAAAGAGAAATCCACCAAATCCGCGTGCAGGCTGCCCGCAGTCAGGCCGCCAAGCCCATGGTCCATGGCCACATCACCGTCGACCGCCCCGGCACCATCGGCATCCTCGTCATCGTCGTCCCAAAACACCAGGCCCTGGGCCTGGGCATAGGCATTCGCCTCGCGGAGCCGATGCTGATTCAGCTCATCCTGCGCGGTGAGCTGACAGCCGCCCGCGTGGCCGTGCTCCCCCTCGATCGAGGCGTCCGGGCGCCGCATTCCCCGCAGCAGGCCGAAATACTCGTCATCCTGGCACCGGCGCGGCTCGCGATCGAGCAACGCCTCAACGGGACCCCCCCGGGGGAAGGCCCGGAAAGCGGCCTCCGCCAGCAGCAACGGGAATTCCCCCATGCACATTTCAAATGCCTCGGCCCCGGCCGGCTGCCCCGGTCCCGGGAAGAGAGCCGCGCCCAGGACAGTGAGCAGGGCCGCGCGGACGTGCGGACCCAGAGCCGGCCAGGGGAGCGTCTGTCACGCCGAGCGCATGTTAGTCTTCGCCATCTCCGCCGAGGGGGGGGGGGGAGGAAGCCGGCCTCCTGCGCAAATGAGAGTGGCGAACCGAAAGGAAAGCCAGCACCGAGCGGGCAAACGTCTGCCGGTCCGTCCAGGGGGCATCCTGCATCAGCAGGTAATCCAACACCAAGTCGGCCGCCTTGTCGGCCTTCGGGGCATCGTGCCCATCGTACTCCGGCGGCGCCAGCACCGACAGCGGTGCCGGGTCGGTTGCCCCGTCGATCGGGACGACATCGGCCGACAATGCAACGACCCGCCGGAGCAGAAGGTGCAGCGCCCCGTGCAGATCCAGCCGCGATGCGCTGTCCCCGGGAGGATGCTCCATGGCTGGGGAAGCCCAAGGGGGAAAGCCAGGAGCCAAATGTGTGGCAGCAGGTGTGTGCAGGCGTGTGCAGAAATGTGCAAAAATGTGCAGGTGTATGTAGGTGTGTGCAGGTGTGTGTGTGCAGGTGTGTGTGTGCAGGTGGGGAGGAGGAGATTTGTGTCGACAGCTCATGAGGGTCAACACCGGGCGGAGTGGCTTCTCTTGTGTTGGCCTGGCTCGCTGGGGCCGAGATCAGAACCCACCCGTGGAGGGAGGTGATGCGCGACGGGGCCGTGCGCGCGCCCCCGCCCCCTCCACAGGGGCTGGCGAATGCTCCAACCACCCCCGCACCGGCGGATGGCCGGGAGCTGCCGGCGGACCTCGCGCCATGACGGATGCCAACCCATGTAGAAACAGCATTCTCCGGCCGGATCAGCCGGATTGTTTTTTGAAAGCCCTATCCGCTGATTACCAATCCCACGCTGTGCGCAAGATTCTGGCTGGTTCTCCGTAGTCGGCCGGCCCGGCCCGGTCCTCCCTCCCGGTCTCTCGGGAAGCGAGCCCCCGGCGGCGCCGTCTCGTGCGGACGCGCACGCACGTACGCACGCACACGCGCTCCCGCCCTTCCCCCCACGCTTGGCCTGGCGCCGGGCGCGAGGAGGATGGCTCCCCCCCCCCCCCCCCCACGCGACCTCCGACCGGGCCGCCATTCATTGGCTGGCGCGTCGCCCGGGCGGGATCGTTCTTCGCCAGCCCTCTCCTCCTCGATCACATAGACACACGCACGCACGCACACACACACGCACGCACATACCGCCCCGCCATCTCTGCTTGCCCCGGTCCGCTCCACCCCACTCCACCCCTCGACGACGATGCAGCTGTACCAGCAGATCGAGTGGGCCCTCCTCAGCCCGGAGGGCGTCAGCGCCCTGGCCGGCCTCGATGGTCCGTTCGCCGGATGGCCGTTTGCCCGCTGCCCGGCCGGGCCGGGTCCCCTTCTTTCTTTTGCGCCTGCCCCTCCCCGCTCACAGCCCCTGCCTCACGCCGTCGACCCCACCCCCTGGGCCTCCATCCGCAGAGTCTGCCTCCTTCCAGTTTGCCAAGGACTTCCTGGCTGGCGACTTCGCCCCAATCATCACCTCGCCCTTTGCCCGGGAGATTCTGGCCTCCAGTGGCCCCCTGCAGTTTGACGGTGCGCCTGCTCCCTCCCCTGCCCTCCGCCAATGGCGCTCCTCCCTGGAGACTCGCGACGATCCTGACCCCCCTCCGGACGTCCTCCCCCGCTCCGCCGCAAACAGACGCGGTTGCCGACCTGAGCGCCCGGCTGGCGGCGCATTGCGCCGGGACCGACCACACGCCCGACTCGGCCCTCTCGCTGCTCATCCTCGGCGCGGCCCTGCTCCAGGCCTTCGTCCAGGCCAACTGGCTGGGCCCGGCCCTCGAGGCCCCGGTGGCCCCGGCCTTTGCCCTGCTGTCGCCCGGGTTCGACCCGGCCGATGCGATCACCTGGCAACGCGCCGCCGTGGCGTGGGTGTCTCAAGATGAGGCCGACGCGTACCCCCTCCTCCGGGAGCCGGCTCTGCTGATCGCGGCGGTCCTGCTCTTCGAGCATGCGGCGCCCCTCTTTGCCGCGCATGAGCTCACCGTACGCCGCCATCGCCGGCGTGCTGCCAGGCGCCTGCTTCCTCCCCTCCCCCCCTTTTGCTCCCAGCCCACTCACCCTTTTCCCTCGTCCCCCCTTCCCCCCCTGCCCCGTCGCCCGGCGGGTGGGCGCTCACCCGGATGCAGACTGCCCTCCTCTGGTCGGCCCGTGTGACCTTCGCCCACCAGCGCATGCTCGATGACCGGTGCATGAACCTGCGCGAGGCTGTGTACGCCCGGCACCGGGAGTTCTTCCTGAGCCTGCCGGCGGGCCCCGGCGGGCTGGCCCTGCCCTCGTTGCTGGGCAAGCCGCACCCGGCCACGGATCCGGACTGCCCCCCGGGCAGCCCGGTGTCCTTGATCTACGCGCGCTTCTACCTGGAGCACGCCTGTGCGCTGCACTACTTCCACGACCTGACCTGCCATGCGGCCCTGGTGGCGGCCCAGGCGGCCACCGGGCTCGAGTGGGAGCTGACCGGCGCCCTCGGCCGGAAGACCAAGTTCCAGCTCGACGCCCGGACCATGCTCGTGGTTTTCGCCCGGTACTCCGACACGGCCAAGGCCCAGTACTTCGGCCAGAAGCCCAGCCAGCCGGCCGCCGAGACCGACATCCCCAAGGCCCTGGACCTGAATGACGACCAGCTGCTGGACCGCATGCGCCTGGATGACTCGGCCGCTGCCGAGGTTGGCCAGCTGACCTCCGAGGCCATCTTCCCCCTGGATCAGGCCATCCTCTTGGGCTTCAGGTGCGCGGCCTCCCTCCTGCCTCCATCCTGGGTCCTTTCCCCTTCCCCTCCGGTGGCTCCCTCCTCCGGCGCCCATGCATCCTGGCCTCGCTGCCACTGACCCGACACGCCCCCGGCTCTCCGCCGGGGAAAAAAAACACCCCAAACCCACGCACACACCCACATCGCAGCAACTACTTCAAGCTGAAGGACCCCTCCAGCGACCTGACCTCGACCGAGCTGACCGCCTTCGTTGAGGTACGTCCTGCTGCCGAGCCATTCCCCCATGCACCCATGTGCATGCCACCCCCGGTGCCCGCATGTCCTGGCCATTGACCCTGCGCCTGGTTCCGCCCATCGCACGCACACACACACACACACACACACACACACAGTACCTCATCGAGTCGCCGAAGAACTGGCTCGTCCACTCGAGCACGCTGCTGCTTCGGTCGCGCCTTGAGGCCAGCAAGACCCGTCGCCTGGAGCGCGCCACGCTCCAGATCCAGGCCCTGGTGGATCAGTTTGCGGACGCCGAGCCCGGGGTCGCCTCGCGCGGGAGCCTCTTCTACCAGCTGGACTATCCGAATCTGTGGCGCATGCAGAGTGACCTGGCCACCCTCTTCACCAAGCTCGGCCTGCTGAAGTCCGCGCTGGACCTCTTCGAGAAGCTGGAGAACTGGGAGGGCCTCATCACCTGTCTGGCTCGCACGGGACAGTCTTCCCGGGCCGAGGCCGTGGTCCGCGAGCAGCTGGCCCAGCACCCGACCCCGAAGATGTACTGCATTCTGGGGGATATCCTGGGCTCGCGTGACACGCAGCCCTACGAGCAGGCCCTGGCCCTGGCTCGCGGCGGCCACTACGCCCGCGCGCACCGGGCCCTCGGGCTGATTCACTTCAAGAATGACGAGGTTGAGCGCGCCCTGCCGCACCTGGAGCACGCCAGCCGGCTGAACCCCCTGGGTGAGCACAACTGGTGGACCCTCTCCGGGGCGTATGCCAAGCTGGAGAACTGGCCCAAGGCGGCCGGGGCCCTGACGCGCGTGGTGTCCCTGGCGCCGGATGACGCCGAGGCCTGGTCCAATCTGTCCATCTACTACACCAAGATGGGGCGCCTGTGCGTTGGGGCCCAAGGCGGGTTCTTGCCCTGCTCTCTTTTTCCCTCTCTCTCTCCCTTTGCCCAGCCTGGCTCCCCTCCTTGGCCGTTCGTCGGCCAGGGCCGGGGAGAGGGGACCTCCTCCCACGAACTTACACCCCTCCTCGCTCGCTCGCTCTCTCTCTCTCTCTGCCCCCCCCCCCCCCTTCCGTGTGCCATCCATGGCACTTGCCCAGTGTCGAATCTCACCGGTCGCTCAAGGAGGCCACTCGGCTCAATCGCGACAGCTGGCGCATGTGGGAGAACCTGGTCCTCGTCAGCCTCGTGGTCAACGAGTACTCCGATGTCATCCTCGGCATGTCCCGACTGCTCGAGATCCGCAAGGACAATCCGATCGACGAGCAGAACTTCGGCCGCCTCATCCATGCATACATGACCGGCAAGTCCGATGCCTCGGAAACCCCCCGTACGCGCAAATGCCCCTCCAGGCCACCTGCCACCGACGAGGCTGATCCCTGTGGACTGACCGGCCGAGCACGCCCCGCACCACCTCCGCCCCCCGCCCCCTTTCTCCCCCCCCCTCCTCCCCTGTGCGCTGTCCTCCGCATAGTGCATCGGTACACCGGCCAGCTGGAGTCCCTGGTGGATCGCATCGTCGAGGCGTGCCCGGGGAATGCCAATGTCCTGGCCATCTGTGCGCAGTTCTTCGACTTCCGTTTCAAGTCCAACCTCCCCTCCAGCCACTATGTGCAGCGGGTGCACCCGGAGCACTATGAGCCCCTGCCCGAGGTGACCCAGACCATGTGCCTGGATGACAAGGCGGTCGACCTGTACCTCCGAGCCTACCGCGCGTCGAACTTGCGCTCGGGGTGGGAAAATGACGCCGCCAGCCTGAAGGCCGTCTCCGAGCACACCACCGCGGCGGTGGAGGCGCTGCTGGCACGCGCCAGCCGGCACCGGGCCAGCGGGGCCCCAGATGCCGAGGGCCTGGCCAAGACCGATCTCTACCAGGCTCGGACCATCATCCGGGGCTTCCTCAGCCGCGCCAAGCGGACATTCCCCTCGAGCCCCGAAGTGCAGGCCATGGAGGAGCTCCAGGCGAAGGCCACTGCTTGAGTGATGTGACATGCCCAGACCACGGGCAGCGCTTCTCCCCTTGGCCGCCTCTCCACCCCGGGGGGATGCTTCCCTCCTTTCGCGTGTTTTCTTTTTCGCTGCCTCTCTCTCTCTCTCCCTCTCTGGAGTTCGGGCACGCGCGCCATACACACAATGTTAGACGGATGATTTCCCGGTGGCCGAAGAGGGGGGCGAGGATCCGGGCAGAAGGCCTGACATGATACATTGGCATGCGTCTCGGGCTCCCTGTCTTTCCTTCGCGGGGCAAGGGACCGCGGCGAGCGCAAGACCACAGCAAGGGGAGGCAGACTATGTGTATTTCCGAGAGCCGGGGAGAAGCCGAGCAAAGGAGGCGCAAGGGGGAAACACAGCAAGAAGGATCTCGGCAGGGCATGAGCAGTGTTGAAAGGTCGAAGGCTCGAGGAAAAACAGGCCCGCGGACATGCCCGCCCGCCCACACGCCCCTCTCTCTCTCACACGCACACACGCACACTCAAGCACGGATGACCTTGCGCTTCTGCTTCTGCTTGGGGCCGGGGGCCTCATCGCCGGCGCCCAGGGCGTCCTGCTCAGCCGAGCCGGCACCCCGGCCAAAGATTCCCCCAAGAAGCATGCTGAGCATGCTTCCCATCGGGCCGGTCGAGAGGTTGGCGTAGGTGGAGTATGCCCAGAGGCCGGGGATCTGCCGACAGCCGGGCGCCGAGGGACACATGGGGATGCGACGTTAGACCCCGGCACAGGAGCACCGCCGGACGGCAGAGGCCACAGGTGTCACGCACCGTCAACAGGAAGTACCACATCCAGCGGCCGAGAATCGGGCGCAGGACCAGCGGCACCCAGCAGAGGATGGCCGAGTCGCCGATGAGGTTGGCCACGCCGATGGTCAGGTCGGCGCCGACCGACACCAGCGGGCCCCGGGTGGGGACCGGGTTGCCCGCGCGCTGGGCCATCTGCACCACATGCCCGGGCACCGGGCCGTAGGTGGCCGCCCCGAGGCGGCGCAGGTAAAACACCGTCCCCCCGGCGATGAGCAGCGCCAGCGAGGAGAGCCACCGGTCGTAGGAGCCCAGCACCAGGGCCAAGACCAGGTGAAGAGCCTGCCATGTCGGGGCCGGGGCCGGGGCCGGGGTCGGGGCCGGGGTCGGGGCCGGGCGTATTAGTGCACATGCCGCGGGGACCGGCAGGACGACAAGAGGGAGGCAGCAGGGGAGCCACGCACGCAGGAGACGGCCGAGCCGATCATCAGGAGTTGGAGGCGCGCCTCGTTGGACGCGGCGCGCTTCTTCTCAGCTTGTCCGGCCTGCGCATCGAGGAGGGAAGAGACATGGGGGGGGGGGGGGGCAGGATTAGCGTCGGCGAGGGTGGGCACCCCATCGGGCCAGACAGGCATACGGGAGGGGGGGGGGGGAAGGAAAAAAGGCCACCCACACCCCGGCGCATACCATGGCAGGAGCTATCTGGAAGGGGGCAAGGCGAGAATCAGGAGGGAGGACCAGGATGGGATGTCCGACTGGGCCCCGACAGCCCGGTGGCCGGCGGTGCCGCGGGAAAAATCTGCCCACCCATCGCCCCCCGCGCGCCCCGCGCCCCGCCCCCTCCACAGCGAGACCATGACCACCGCCGCGCCGGCCCCCACCGCCCCGGCATCGGTGCCGCACCTCTCTATGTCTCTCTCTCTCTCTCTCTCAAAGAGGTCCCCTGGCAGACTCCTCCCCCTACCGAGCACACACACCGCGGATCAAAGACAGGAAGGTCCAGCGGCAGATCGAGCCACGTGATGTGTCTAATTGTGGGATACAATGTCCACCAGCTGGTAGGACCCGGAGAACCAGGTCCGGCCGGCCGGGTCCACCAACAGGGCGGACACCAGCAGCCGCCGCCGGCGCCCGGGATCGAAGAGGCTGACCACGGTCGCCGGCGAGGAGGCGGACGCCGGCGAGGGCTCATGCCGCGCGCGGCGCCGGGATTGCGCAGCCGGGTCCAGGAGAAGTGGCAGGTCCGCCGACTCGACGGGCGGCAGGGCATCGGCGCCCCCGACAAACAGGTCCCCCCGGGCGAAAGTGAACGAGGCCTGGGCAAAGCGCGTGCCACGCAGGGCCGTCTGGCTGGCCGGGCTGCTTGGCTGGCCGCCGGCCAGGCTCAGCACCGGGCGGGCCGCCGAGCCGGAAGAGACCCCCGCCACCGGGGGGAGCTCGTCCGAGGTGGCCAGGTCCAGAGGCCGACTGTCGGTGGCGTGCGCGCTCGATCCGGCCAGGGGAACAACCCGCGCCATGCGGCCGGATGCCGAGAACAAGTCCACAAGGTCGATGTCCGCCGGCCCGGGCCCGCCAGGACCCGGGGCCCGGAAGTGCGGGTCGCCCAAATCACGCCCATCGGTCGCGGCCAGGTCCCCACTCAGCGGCACACACCACACCAGAGCCGCCACCGGCGGACCGGCGGCCGAACCCGCCACGGGGAGGCCCCTCCCCGGGGACGCCCCGACATCCGACACCAGGGTGCCGAGTGCGGCGCTCGAGGAGGCCCCCGACCAGCTCTCGAAGGAGTCAATGCCCAGCCGAGGCCCCTCGCGCCCGGCGCCCTGGGCCCCGGCATCGAGGGCCAGGTGCCGGCAGAGGATGCGCTCCAGGGTGGCCGAGTCCCGGCGAGATGGCGGGGTCACCTGGATGGCCACATTGAGGACCAGCTGCGAGTCCTCCGGCATGTGGATCTCCATCGGCGCCATTGTCCCGGCGTCCGGGGAGGCCGGCGAGGCCGGTGCGGTCGCATGGCACGTCGGAAGCACCCGGAGCAAGCACTGCGTCGAGTCGCCCGCGCGGCCGGACAGGCCACCGGACAATTCCGAGCTCAGCAGCTGCAGGACATACGCCGGCAGGCCGAGCGGGCTGTGCAACAGGAGTGCCCGTGCAAATGCGGCCACATGCTGCATCGGCACCCGCGGAGCAGGGGCGTCCTCCATCGAGGGGGAGCCCCCGCATCCCGCCAGGGATAGCAAACCATCCAGCCCGCCCGTGGCGTCCGAGCCAAAGGCAAAGTCGAAATCCCCATCCGCGTTTGAGGCATCACTCATGGTGGCATCCGGCTCCTCCATCGGCGGGGGGGCTTGTGACAGTGGCTGGCCCAGGAGCCCGAGTGCCGACCGCAGGCAAAGGCTATCCGGGTCGCGGCTGCGAATGGCCTTCGACAGGATGTGCAAAAGGATCGAGCGGCTGGCAGGACGAAAAAGCACGACGGGTGTTAGATGTGTCCGGAGGGAGGGGAGTGGCGATGGGGAGAAGGGCCACTTAATGTGCGTGTGCGTGTGCGTGTGCGTATACGTGTACGTGTATATGTACATGTACGTATACGTGTACGTGTACGTGTATATGTACATGTACGTATACGTGTACGTGTACGTGTATATGTACATGTACGTATACGTGTACGTGTACATGTACATGTACGTATACGTGTACGTATGGAAAAGGGGGGGGGAGAGGGGCGAGCAAGCGTGATCCTGGAAAAGCAAGGGTGAGAAGGGCGAGCGGCACGCACCGGTGAAGCTCTGCCTGCGTGAAGGAATCCAGATCGAAGTGAAGGCGGATGAGCTTCAGGTGGCCCTCCGAGAGCAGGGCCAGGTGCGCGGCCAGCTGCTCGGCCTACATGCCGTCGCCAAGGAAGAGCCCACCGACAGGGTGCCACGAAGGGGAAAGAACATGATCAGCAAAGGAGACCGCCAAAGCGAACGCCGGCCCGAAGGGCGGAAGGCCTGTGGCTGTGGCCGTGGCGTACCTGCACCGCGTGCAGCCGGTCGACATCAACGCTGTCGGCCAGCGAGGCTAGCTGCTGCAGTTGACGCAGGCAGGCGAAAGTACGGGACTGAAGCAGGAGGAAGTTGCAGAGGAAGCGATAATGCGAGCGAATGGAGGGGGAGAAGTCCTCCTCCAGCGAGGCGGCTCGGCCGCCCAGCTGGTCAAACCGCTGTAGCGTCCGGGCCAGAACCAGGGCATCGTCGTGCGCTCTCAGGACCAGCCCGAAGGGGACATTTGCCTATGGGGGGCGGGGGACAAAGCGGGGGTCGCCAGAAGGGCAGAGGGAGGGAGAGAGAGAGGGAGAAAAAGAGGGAGAAAGGGGAGAAGAGGGAGAGAAAAGAGGGAGAAAAGAAAAAGAGGGGGAGAGGAGGCAAAAGGGAGAGAAGAGGGAGAGAAGAGGGACAAAGGAGAAAAGAACAACAGAAGGGACAGGGAGAGACAGGGACGAGGATGGCAGCGAAGCACGGTGAGTAAGACAGAGGTGACGGAGAGGAGGATGGCGATGGCTCGATGATGCGCACCAGACCGGCATCCTCATCGGCGAGTGCACGCAGTGCTGTGGCCGCAATGCCCGCGAGCAGGACCAGAAGGCGGCGAGAGAGTTGCTGCACCTCCGAAGGGGCGGCTGTCTGAATGTGCGACCCGGTCAGGCCAGCTGGCCGCCGGCTGTCCATGTCCGACGACGAGGCCGGCCCCCGGTGCAGGAGCCCATGCGAAAAGTCGATGGTCGGTAGGGCGGCCAAGAAACGCAGCGCCAGTGGCGCCGCCCGACCGGTGCGCAGGCAGAACCCGGCGATGCGCTCGACCGTGCACAACAGGAAGGCCAGGCCTGGCGCCTGGAAAACCACCTGCGGGGAGACAACGCGCGTGCTGCCACCCCCCGGGGCGCTCGCCTCCTCCGCCTCCGTCCCCATGGCCAGACCACTGGCCAGGGCCGTGTCCCCGCTGGACAGCCGCCCGGCCACGGCCAGCAGGCGCGCCTCCTCCGCGGGTCCATACAGCCCGGGGAAGCGCCCAAGAACCAGCACAAGGGTGGCTAGCAGCTCGATGCACCGGCTGGCGCCGGACAGTGCACTCAGGCCTCCGGCAGGGACCGGCTGCGCAAGGGAAAACTCCAACAGGCGATCCATCAGATCCAGTGCCATGGTGCTCGGGCCGAGCGTCGGGTTGGCCGGGGCCAAGTCCAGTGGGAGCGTCTCCACCGAGCCCAGGCACGCTGCAAGGCAGTGTTGCAGCTGAAGGAGGATGGCCATCTTGGCGCGGGACGTCGTGTTGTCTGACGGGGGGGCGCATGGTCAGTCCGAGGCCGCCACAGGGCGGAGAGAAGAGGACAAGCAGTGGGGAGGGGGGGGAGGGTCCCCATCGGAGGCCAATCACCAGGGGCCGGTGTGCTCACGTACCCTCGAGCCGATCAAAGAGCACGGAGGCCACAGTCAGATGGATGACGATGAGGCTGGTCCCATCGACCAGGGCGCCCAGGACTGCGCGCGGCTCGGCCCGACCCAGCAACTCCAATGCATCGACCGTCTCCGAGGCGATCTGCCCCAGGGGACGATCCGGCGAGGGAGGAGGTCAGCTCGATGGCGAAGAGGTCGAGAGAGGGGGGGAGAGGGGGGGAGAGACCCAGACACGCAGGAGACGTGGGGGAACAAAGAGCAACACACAGGATAGCCACGCACCATCAAGTCCGCTACCGCCTCGCGGCCCTCATCAGCCGGGGACATGTGGGCTCGCAACGAGGCGAGAAGCTTGTCTGCCAAGCTGTCCAGTGTCGCTGCGTGAAAGGGAAGGCCGCGTCAGCACACGTCAAAGGTTGTGGGCAAATGCAAAAGGCAGCACGCTCAAAGGAAAAGCCATACCCAGAGAGGCCGCATCGCCCGGGAGGTGATATCGGCGGAAGATGGCCACCACCAGCAGACGCATGGCAGGCACATGGCGATCATCAAAGCAAGCCAGTCCCACCACCGCGGCCAGGAGCTCGGGCTCGCCGAAGACAGCCTCCAAATGGCGGTCCTGGTCCGTATCGATGGCCGCGATCAGCACCTGGCAGATCGGCGCGCAGACTGACACCGGGCCGCGCTGCATGAGTGTCGCAAGCATATGCTGTACGCCGAGGAGAGGGGGGGGGGAGGACGCGTCAGAATGGTCGAGAGTGCCGCCCGCCGCGAGTCGCCCATGGCCAGATCACACATACCTGACACACATCCACCGGGAGCTCCTGGCCCTGGCTGACCAGTGAACGAATTGCAGACAGCACATGCCCCAGCAGAATGGCCGGCCCCTCCTGGCGGAGGTCCACCGTGCTCAGAGGGACCGCCAGGAGGTCCTCGGCGGGGTGGGCCTTGTCAGCCTGGCGCCGGCCCAGCAGCAGCGTCTGAGCCCAGGCGGTCAGGACCTGGAACAGGGCCGGGCGGCGCGCCGGCAGCCGGAGGACCAGGCTCAACAGAGTCCCGATGCATGCCTCGATCAGTGGCAGCGACACGTCCTGGGCCGAGGAGAAGCGCGATGCGCGCATCGCCGCAAAGCACAGATGGACAGCCTGCACCGCGAGGCGAGGGAGCCAAGCGAAAGGTCAGCCCCGGCGGACGAGCACGAGCGCAGCGAAGGCCATCCGCCAAAGGGCCCCGGGGCCGGTGGGGGCGGGGACCGAAACGCACCTGGTCGGTGTCGGCCTCCGAGGGCCACATGTGTTTGAGCAGGCAAATCAGGGAGACACGAATGCTCGCCGGGTGGCGAAGGTCTGTGCCGGCATGTGAGTCGCGAGCCGAGGCCGGGAGGTGGCGAAGCTGGGGGGGGGGGGGGGGGGGGGGGGGGGGGGGGGGGGGGGGGGGGGGGGGGGGGGGGGGGGGGGGGGGGGGGGGGGGATGACAAAGGGGCAAGTGCTGAGGCGGACCCTGGAGGAGAGTGACAATTTTCTCGAGAATACTCGAGGCAAAGACCGGCGACAGGGCGGCCACCCGGTCGGCCGCACTGATGGTGGCTTGGAAGACACGAAAGTCACATGTGGTCGAGGACTCCGAAGACGAAGACAGTGTCTCGCGAAGGCTGGCGTGCAAGCGCGTCAGGGCCGGCACGCGGGCGGGAAACAAACAAGCAGGCCACGGCCAAGCAGGCCCAGCTACGCACACATTGTGGATTTCAACCCGGTCAGCCAGGACACTGGCCATCTCGGACACCATGCTGGGAGGGCGGCGGCGGCGGCGGCGGCGGCGGCGGCGGCGGCGGCGGATGGAGGACCATCGGCAGGCATCGGTCAGTGGGGCCGGGGCAGGTGGGAGGCGAGGGGAAGGGCCGCTGGCCGGCGTACCGGATGGTCAGGGCCCGCGCGGCGGGATCCATGCCGAAGGCAGTTTCGTGCGTCAGCGACGTGACCACCTCCTCGATGTTGAGGATGAGCCCCAGCAAGCCGGTGGCGGCCATGGTGCGCACGGCCCCGAGACACGCATGGCGCAGGGCCACCGACCGCGTGCCACAAAAGAAGTCCACCAGGCGCAGGACCGCCGTGTTGACCACCTCCGCCAGGGGGAAGGTGGCCAGGAGCCCGGGCAGCCGCGACAGGGCGGTCGTCTGGACGGCGATCACCCCGGAATGGAGCTGCGTCTCGAGCTCGGTCACCAGGCGCAGGCCCCGCGTGGTGGACATCGACGCATCCGAGGGGCCCGTGTCCGGGGCAAATTGCTGGAAAAGGTGCCGGCCTGCGGCGCCGGGCCCGGCCGCCAGCGACCCGGACGAGGCCGCCATGCCGCCGGATGCCAGGGCATCGGCGCTGGAAAGCCCCCCCTCGCGAGCGACCAGGTGCGCCGCCAATTGGGGCGGCCCGACGGCAATCTGCGGTATGGCAGCCGAAGTGCCAGGCGCCGGGGCGCTGGCGGGCACGGCCGCCGCCGCGGCCGCCGACGCCGAGGCAGACGACCCCACGAAGGTGACTCCCGAACTGGGGGGCTCATGCGACCCGGGGGTGGCCATCGCGGCCCCCGGCCGTGGGCCGTAATCGACCATGCTTGGCCCGTGGCTGGGGCCGTAGTTGGGCGGCGGCCCGGGGTCCGCCGGGGCCGGCGGCAGGGTCCAAGCCCCCGGGCGCCCGGGCAGCTGCAGCCCTCCCGGGTGGATGCCCGGCATGCCCGGCGGTGGGAGGGGCCCCGTCACCGGAGGGCCCTGGGAAGGAGCGGCGGCGCTGCCGGCTCCGGTCGAATCGAAGCCGGCCACCACCGGCAGGGAAATCCCCGGCGTGACTGGCCGAGGGCCAGGCCCGATGCCCGGCGGGGGGAGCTCGATCGCCGGCCCCACGCCCGGGGCGGGAAGCTCGATGCCGGACTGGCCGGCCGGCAGGGACACCAGCGGGACCGGCGCGCCCCCGGGCACCGGCGGCAGGAAGGCCCCAGGCGGGGCGGCCCCCTGCGGCGGGGGCAGCTTCACAATGGCCGGCAATTGCGGCGAGGGGGCGGCCATGTGCCCGGATGGCGGATGGTGCCGGCCAAAATGCGGCGGCACCGGGTGCAGGTGCGGCCCCGGGAAGGCCCGGCCGCGGGGGTGCTGCATCGACGGCGGCAGGGTCAGGCCTCCGGGGGCCGGGGGCCCGGCGCCGCTGCCAGATGCGGGAGGTGGTCCGCCGCCACCCGGCGGGTTGGAAGACATCCGGCAGGGAAAGGGAGGCGAGGGGGAGCGAGCAAGCCGAGGGAGGGCGATGGAGGGCGAGGAAGGGCGAGGGAGGGCGAGGGAGGGCGAGGGAGGGGAGAATTCAAGCACGGAAATGAGTGCAATGCCGCAGGCTGCCAGGGAGGAAAAGGAGGGCGGGCAGGCAGGCAGGCGGGCGGGCGAGCGGATGGGGTCGGGAATGGGCTGCCGACGGCAGCGGATTGCCGCGGCTTTTGGAGGCTTCACCGGCGGACTTCACCAATCGCGCGCCGGGACGGCGGCGGCGGCGGCGGCGGCGGCGGCGACGACGGGGTGGGAGCCGGGGGCGTCCGGGCGCCGGCGCCGACGCCGAATCGAATGGATGCCGGGGGCGGACGCCGCAGAGATCTCGGCCCATCGCGCGGCGGACACTGGCGTCTACCCGTGCCGAGCCCGCTTCCCCACGCCCCTCCGCTGGCAGTCAAGGGGCGCATCGACGCCAGCCCCGTTGGCATCCGGCCCGGACCGAGCACCAGCCCTTGATCACTCGTGCGTGAGTGGTGCGTGATATGCCCGCTCGTGAAGCGCGGGGCTCCGGCCTCCCGCGCGCCCCCCTCCGGACGCTCTCGGCCAGGCCGGCCGGGGAAAAGCAGCGCGCCGGGGGGGGGGGGGGCGGCGAGCCGCTCCTCCCGCGGCCACGCAATGAATGGTGGTGCCAGGGCCCCTTGTGAGCGGCTTGGCCTTGCAGCTGGAGGGGGGGGAGTCGGCGGCCGGGGCAGGGAGGGCGGGTCAGCATTGCATTGTGTTGGGGCGTGCTGACCTCCGCCGCCGCCGCCGCCGGCAGGGCAGGGTGCGGGAGAGGGGGGGGGGGGGTACAGGGGGCGGGGGGGGGTAGGCCGCCAGACCTGGGGTATATGCACATGGAACTGGGTGCTCCGCCGGGGGCCGGCTCGGGAAGTCATGGCGCCCCTGTGCTGGCGCGCAATCCAGCGCAGGGCGCACGAGGGGGCGCAGTGGGGGGAAGAGACACGCGGGGGTCCATTTGGTGCGCCCATTCCACGTGCCGGGCCCAGGCGGCGGAGCTTTCGGCCGCGGGCCCGGCGGACGCCAGGCGCCTTCGCTGTGGCTCCCCCGCCCTCCCGCCCCGGTCCCGGTGGGAATGGCCCATCTTCGTGGAAGGGGGGCTGTGTTGCCCGTTTCTTTGTTCCGGCCGGCGGAGGGACTCGCCGGAGGGACTATTCGCTCTTTTTTATTTCCCCCCGCCTCCCAGGAGGCCAAGGCCTCCATGCGCGCCAGCAGCCCGTGCGTGCTTTTGTGCCTCGGCCCGAAGCCCATCAGCACGCCAGTCGGGCGCGGGAATCCGGCGGCGGGAGGGGGGGGGGGGCGGAGAGACCCGCCCACCGGCCGCCCCCTGCCCCTCCCCGGCACCTCCCCAAGTGATGCGCGCAGGCGCGGGCCCCGGGCGGGCGCCGGGTCGCCCGGGAACCAGTCGCCGGCCCGGACTGCCACCGAAAACCGCCGCCGAGGGCGCGCCCAGCCCACGCCACCGCCGGCCCCGGGCCACCTGCGATACCCCCCCCCCCCCTGCAGGGCGAGCCACACGGGCGCCTCGTCCGTCGGGGGGACCCGGGCGCGGGGCCGGCGGCAACGAGGCACCGAGTCACCACCGAAAGCAACAGGGCGCGCCCCCCCCCCCCGCCCCCGCCCCACCAACGAACCGCTCGCCAGTTTGGGGCTCCCGGCCCGGGGGTGGGCAGGGCCGGCCGATTTAGCCCGCAAGTGACGCATTCCGCTCCGGCCGAGTGGCAGGCACGCACCGGGAACGGGACCAACCGCGCATGGGCCGGGGGCGCCCTCGACGAACGGGGGGGGGGCGCGGCAACGCAGGGACCCCCCCGCCACTGCCGCCGCCGCCGCCGCCGCCGCCGCCGCCGCTGCCGCCCTTTAAGACCCGCAGGCGTGGCCCCCAGGGCCGCCCC